CTATATTTTGACAACATTTGGATGGAGTTAGTTTACGAGGTTAATTAGAAAATATATGAGATTTCGAGGAAGTTCATCTAAAGTCAAATAGTCCTACTAATTTCGGCGTAGTAAAACACATTTTTGCCTCTTGTAAGTTTATTACTTAGCTTTAGGGCACAAAATGTAACAGATTTGTAGAGCAAACATTTGTTAACTAAATCCATCAACCTTTTCTCGACTCTAGTGCTGTATCTCGTAAGTACACTAACCTCAATTTCATTTTTTTTCGACTCTAGTCCTGTATCTTGTAAGTACACTAACCTCAATTTCATGGACGCAAAACAAAATTTTCGCTGTTGTGAACAAATATAATTCAACATTTCTGCTCTTTGTGAAGGTATTTTTATACTTCCGCACGCAAAAATGTGAATCTTTTCTCCGCAACGCTTAATAGCATAGGAAATTCCTTGGATATCAACAAACGTTGGATTTCGCCCAATTCCGCCTATATTTTCTCCAAGTATACTGAGCTGAATGGAATTCAATTCTAATAAACAACATTTTGCGCCTCAAGCCAAACCAATGAACTTAATGAGCGACCTCAAGTTTGTGTTCAATCCCCCAATCCCCAACCTTGCATCAGATATGTCACCTACTGTAAGTCTGGAAGTTAGACTTCAGTCTTCGAGGGACAAGAGGGGACGCATGTAATTATCCAAGCTTTTTTGTACAAGTGAAGGGAAGTGGCCTCCACGACTGACCGCGGGAGGTCGTTCCACTATTGTATGGCCCGTTGCGTGAAGAATTCATAGCGGAGGTTGAGCTTGGACATCTTCGTACGCAGTTTCATTGTGTGCCCACGGAGATGAGGCAAGAGGTGCCACTGAAACATGTCCTCAAAGCGCAATCAGTACTCAGGACCGTGTATTATCTTGTAAACTAGGTAAAGTCTCCTCTTTTTGCCTGTAATGCAGAGGGAATAAATTTAGGCATGCCAATCTATCTGTGTAAGAGTGATTCTTTAGACCACTTACTAGCTTTGTTGCCCGACGCTGCACTTTCTCCAGAC